GAAGGCCCGGGCCCGCCGCGCCTCGGGCTTGGCACATCTTTCGCTGCACTGCTCTCTTCGGCATTTCCTGCCGGCTGGCTTAGTATTGCTCTAGCGCAGAAGGGCTTTTCTCGACGCGGCACTTGTCCGGGAAAGGGATGGTAACCTACGGCATCACCGGGGCTGTTTCTCGCTTCCCTGGACCAAGCCAGCTCTGAGCCCTCTTAGAAAACCTGTAAAGGAGACGGGCTGAAAGCAATTCACGTCTTTTGCTTTCAGAGCCAGGCTGAGCCAGGCGCCAAGGGCCTCGGCCCCTGCGGGTCCCGCGCCTTCCTTCCAGCGAGGAGGGGGACGCGAGCGTGACGACCAGCCGCACGCCCTGCGCGATGGGGCCGCGCGCGGGGGCACACGGGAAGCACTGCCGGGTGGCAGAGCAGGGACGCACCGGCTCCGCCAGCCCCGCTCTGAGCACAGCGCTTCCAGGGGAAAACAACAGAAGAGACCAAAAAAAAAAAAAGTGAAAAGAAAAGCACAGAAAACTCTAAGGGGCTCCAAGGCAAGGCCTGAGTGTGGGAAGATTAAAGGGGCTAGATCAGCCCATCCCCAGACCCATTTGCAGGCCCCCAGAGGGAAGCAAAATGGCTCAGAGGAGTGATGCACCGGTCTGGCCCCTCTGGGTGCAGCGGGTGCTTGTGGGAGACCCAGACCCCTTGGTGGGGAGGAGACCTCAGAGAAGGCAGCATCAGCTCCACCTGTGGGTGCCCGGTGGGCCCAGCTCACCTGCTCTGTTGGGCGCCTCCATCCCTGGGCCCTCGGGGAAGAGGTGCCCAGTTTGTGCGCTTGGGAGGGCTGCAAGCATGAGGCTGCTGCCAGGACCCTCAGCTGGGCCAAGGAGGTGACAACCGAAGCCTCGCGCAGCAGCCATGTGCTGGGCACCAAGTGTCACTGGCAAATGCTGAGACAACTGGGCCAGAGATTTTGGTACATGCTCTTCCTCACGCTCGTGCCAAAACTCCTGCCAAGTTACGCTCCATGTCCTTGCTTGCCTTTGGTGCTTGAGCACCCAGACCTGCTTATGCACCAAGATTACAGTGGACACCTGGAACAGCTGCTTTTTACAGAGGGTAAAGGCCAAGTCCAGAGAAAGGGTTTTCCTGCTCCACCCAGCTGCAGTGAGGCCACACGACCTGGAAGCTAGGTGCCACCAAAAAGCTGCAATTTGGATCCGCTCAGGACAAGAAGGGGCCTGTGTTTCTGCTCCCACAGCTCACTCATTGCACAGAGGGGATAAGGGGATGATGCAGTGCTTGCTCTAAAAGGCTGGGCATAGGCAGAAAGAGGTGAACTGAGTGAGCCACTCTGGGGTGAGGTGGCTCCCTACCCCTGTGTGACATGTCAGCTCTCATGGATACTTTTCTCCCCATACCTGGCTTGGCTGGGCTATTTTCCACTAAGCCTTAAAACTAGAGAATTGTGCTGAGCGATGCCCACAAGTGTCCTCCTGCAGAAGCCCAAAACCTGGAGAGGAAAAAGCTGGTGAGCTGGCAAATGTAATGTCTCCATAAAGACTCTTCACTGAGTTACCAAGAACATAAATTTGACTTAAGTCAGATCCTCCTTCATGTGGAGAGCAAAGTACATCCATTAAGTCCTTTTCTCTGCTTTCTAGTAGGATTGCTGCAGCATTTCCAGCAGCTCAGAAACAATCCCTTTGCCCCTGGAAGCGGGAGCCAGGCTTCTACATACCACTGAATTGCACATGTCATATATAGGGTTAACCCACAGCACTCAATAGGCACAGTCCAAACCACTACTTAATCCTATCTCCTGCCATCCTCTCAAATCTGTTGTAGCAGTCACCTCTAGCATCTCAGATACAGAGTACCTTCTGGAGAAGTTCATTGACCTTAGAGGATGGACAAACACCAAGAGCAGTTACATCTGATCGCATACAAACATTTGCAGTACAGTGATGTCTATCTGGGCTAATCATTCAAGGTTGCCTTTATGGTCAATGTAGTGATGGTTGCTCATCTCCAAGCAGACAGCCAAAGTAGATGAGAAGAATCACACCCCAGAAGTGTTTGTTTTTCATCAGAGATAAAGAAGATGCTTAGATTGACAGAGCAGTCACCTTAGCAGATATCTACAGTGCCTAATGTACACCTCTATGCTCTTAAATGATCTGCACACTACCCGTGGTTCCCAATCACGTTTGGGGATGGACTAGATGTTGAGCTACTCCACCCAGCCAAATGGAGGTGATTCTAGAGTTATAAACATCTTTTGGATATCTGTGAAAGGTTTTTATCTTAAGGTGGGGATACCTGAGGGGTCTATGTCCCTCGGCGCTCTGCTGGAGCTTGTTGGTGCTTTCAGAACAACAGCTTTGACTCTGAACTATGTCCTTGGGATGCACACTCAAAAGCCTGTCACTAAACTAAGACTCAAGTCCACTCCTTTCACTAGTTCAGCATATTCCTCAGGCCGTGCTTCCTTCTGGCCTGCAATTGGTAAGTACGAGAGATCTGCAGCCAAAGCACTGTCACTAGTCGTCAGAGTATGAAAGTGTTTGTTAGGGAAGAACGGTGCTGGAGGCCTCTTCGCAGAGGAAAGCAACCAAGCTGGGTGGCTCAACAGGGTGATAGCACTAGATCCCTACATTAGCTGGCAAAAAGACATAATCAGCAAGGAATGCTCCTTAGGAATTACTCCTTAGGAATTACTTCCCTGTCCTTGGCGTGCGTGCACACACATACGTGCATACACACACCCACACCCACAACCCCACACCCACCAGTGGGGAAACAGATATATTTCAATGATATTTGCTTACATTGTCTCACTGCTGTCTGTTACACCTCTATTTGAAGATGCAAAGTTATGAAAATTGTTTCCACTTCGCAAATTCGCTATTAGAATTTTTAAAAATCTATTTATTTCCACTATAATGCCAAGGTCTTTCCTGCTTCCCTGGATACATGGGCCTAATGTGTCTGGTCTTTGCCTGGACTGGGTTTGAGGCTCTAGCATAGCCAGAAAAGAAAGAAGACCCTTCAGTTTTGTTCTCCATCCTACAGAAAGTAAAGAAACCTGACATAAACAAAGAGACTCGTAGCATTATGGATATGAAAGCCTTTTTGCTGTCTGGAAAATGAAACACACACCAGCTGGCATGTAGTAAGGCTACCAGGACAGATTTGGTAGGAATTGAGCTATGCTGTAAAAATACAGAGTAGAAATAATTAGATGCAAAAAATAAAGTGAAAGTGGTCAGAATGCTCCACGCCGCTTGGCAAGGAAAGGAAAATGTTATGCAAATAAAGGACAGATACGGAAAGGTCCATATGTTAATTGGGGGCATTTCTCTTGCCTGTCACTGACTAAAGTAACAGTAATGAAACCGTTGTTAAGAAAAAAGATGGGTGCTTGCAAAGGTAATAAAGAGTTATATAACGTCCAAAGCATCAAACAGCTC